AAGCCTGACGGAGAGGGGGGCATTTCGGAAAAAATGAGAATTGCTTATGCACCTCGTATTCCCTCTTCTCCTCCATGGTAAAGCTTAGTCCTAAAACTAAGAGTTCCCGTAAATCTGACTCAATGTTGTGCTACCCTCCCCCGGAACCACATTGCGCCTAATTTTTTACACGTTGATATTAGAAGGGAGTAGCTACATTAGAGAGGATGTGGAGCGGTATGTGGTGCAACGATTCGCGCCGCCTCAGCAATCACAATTTTTGCTGGGTGAGAAGGTTCCGTGGTGAGTACGCTGAAGCACTGAAGCGAAATATTGTGGTCCACCTATCCAGTGGATTCTCCCTCTCCGCAAAAGTTTGAATCACTGCAGGCGGCCCTCACTATCCCACCTCTGCTCATTGAGACAGAAAAGCTTTGTCAACATTTCGATTTGTTAGGTGTCTGCACCAAAATGCCCCCTCCTTTCTTCCTTGCTGGCAGAGTTTCAGTTTCCCAAGCGTTCAGAAAGAGCTCGAACGATCTGCTGCTGTTAGTATTTTCCACCAGGAGGAATAGAGGATGTTCTTACATATAATGCTGTTAAGTGGACCCGATCACTGACATCAGTACTACTTTAGTATTACTTGGGATTAGAAGGCAGTGGTAGGCAAAAGGGCGGTTGAAAACGAAACACAAATGAGCAAGAAGGCCTCAATCCCAGCCACAAACATACCGGGAAACTCGGCCATCGTTGTCGAAAGCAGATCGAAGTAGTCCTTTCGAGTGAGCGGCTGACATGTTTCGAAATGTGTTCCGTTCGAGAACAGTCCACCATGACATTCATCATGCGATTGGAAGAGTACGGTAGTGAAGAGAACCATACCGTAATAGGAAAAGGCATTCACGGCCCAAATGAGCCATAACAACAGTGTGGTACGACGTAGATCTGGCGACAGCAGATCAGCAATGTCACCACGTTTCTCCGTCTGAAAATGTGATTGTAGAAAAACTACGTTTGAAAAAGGTATACAGGATTTTTAGCGTATTTTTTCACCAAAATTTACACAAGGTAAAGGAAAGGATATTGCAATCAACAGTGACAAGTATTGCAGTGATAAGCAGTGATAAGTCCATTCTGGGAATGCGCCACATATTTCCCTCCTATTCGGAATTATAACTGCATTCTGAAGGCGACTTGAGTTCTGAAGGTAAACTAGTTTACGCGCAGATATTTTATCTCTCTCCGGAGCCTGCTAAGGATTAAATGGAGGGATGTAGGACATAGACGAAATTCGATACGAGAGTGTACCCCCGCCCTTCTCAAAAAGTACACATGGTGAGCACATAGCGCTGCTTCCCTCTATTGTCTGACTTCTACGAAAGGGACAAAAAAGTAGTTTGCTCAACGGAAATTGTCCGATATAGGACCGCGCACAGTGTCAAGCAACGTTCACGAAATGCCCGCATATTAGTCTGTCACTATGAAGATAGTCTGAGGTACGCGGAAAATCCACAAAACTCAAACCCGCTTTGCCGTAGCACCGCCTCGCCGGCACCGCCTCGCCTTCCCAATTGAGTTCAGATAGGCCGAATCACTATGGAGCCGAGCTACATAAAGGTGAAAAGAAAGGTAGTGGTGAACTTGTTTTCTATGTTGCTGGGAATAGTCAGATCTAGTACCGTCTCACCAATGCTTCTCGGCTTCTTACAAGAGAGGTCTTTCAGGACATGGAGCGCTTTTCGAAATGGTTTTCTGCATGTTGTAGGGGCTCATGCGAGGAACACAGAACCATGATCCATTTTTCCTGAACGCCTCCAGGAATGTCAAAACAGTGGTGAAGAAATGGTCCAGAGTTCGATCCCCGGTGATGACTAATTTTTGCAATATAGTTTGGCGCCCCCAGATTGCCGCCAAATGGCGCCATCGTCGAGAATAGATGTCATTGTCGTGTTTTGCGGCAATTTGGAGGCGCCAACATAAATTGCAAAAATTTGTCATCACGGAGGATCGAACTTTGGACCATTTCTTCCCGCTGTTTTGACATTCCTGGAGGGCGTTCAGGAAAAATGGACCACGGTTCTGTGTTTTCCTCATCATGAGCCTCTGCAACATTCAGAAAACCATTTGAAAAAAACGCTCCATGCCTTGAAAGACTCCCCTTGTCAGCAGTGCCCTCTGCCTGGCCAGGCACAACCCGAGAGGGCGTCTTCGCCAAATAACACCGACCATGGCGCTCTCTGGGGCAGTGCGAGAGCAGACAGAGGGCAGCACTAGAAAGATGAGAAGCAGTGCTGACACAGTGCCACATTTGAATGGATTCACATGAAGAAGAAATCCTCGTGACCCAAACGTGCCTGGTCAGATGAAAGCTTTACCAAATTCGGTGACACTTTCCACGACGATGCCTCTTATGAATTTTCATCCATGTTACTCTCCCACGCATTTCAGAATTTTAGACATAAACTATTAATCAGTTTAATAATTTGACTTAACATTTACAGTGCATTCCCCCAAACTAGCAAGATGTGACTTTGAAAACTGGTACTTGTAAAGATAAGCATGGGAAAGTCTAATGGTGGTTGGAAAGGTGGTTAGAAACTGAGCCAGAAACTGAGTCATGAGCGCTGAAGATTCACATTATGTGGTCGACTTACAGTTTGAGAATGACCAAGAACAAGTTGTCCCTCTGGAAGTTTCACGCGGTTCTCTTTTGCGGCCTTCTGCAACGTCGCCAAGGCCCTTTCTGGATGACCGGACGCCATGTCGTAACGAGCAGATTCAGGAAGCCACTGAAGGATGCAGTGCTTACACAAGTTCCGGCAGTAATCTTCTATAGGCACTCACAAAAGAAAGGATCCCGAACAATCCCAAAGGCAACGACGAGAGCAGCACTAAAGCTCTCCATCCCCATGTTTCCATGACGAGGTAAGCTAGAAGCGCTTCAAAAGCTGCCCCAATTGCCCAGAAGGATTCGATCAGCACGACGCATTTAGCTCGCTGATGTGTCGGTAAGAATTCCGCGTACAAAGTGACACTGAAAAAGAATTATAATTATAATGAAAACGAATTATAAGAGAAGCGGCGAGGCAAAATTGCCTGCTAGAGATGGGGACGAGAAGTTTATAGCCGACAAACAATTTTGAAAGTGCCTCTTCTTCAAAAGTTATCGAAATGGATCTAGTGGGAACAATTCACATATAAGGAACAAGAAGTAATTTTCTTATAGAACTCGAGGGAGTTCTCAAAACTTCCTTGGAGGGAATTTTTGAAAAACTAGCCATTCTGTCTGTGACTAACTTTCCTTACATATATAATTCGGTAAG